GGGGGGGGGGGGGCAAAGAACGCGCGGACCATATACGACCTGCTTTATACACACTCCAAATACATCCTCTACAACCGACCTACCAGCTAGTGGCGATAGGGCACACCTTCGAAGGTGATGTCACGAATACGGTACAATTTTCTGTTGTAAGAACGACGACAAGCATGTTGTAATAGAGGGGTGTGGTATCTGCACGATAGATGGGCACGGCAATCGTGACATGAATCTACGACATCTCCCACACCTACCTCTTGATCGTGCCCGCGTCCTTCCCGTTCACGCTCACGCACAGCGCCCCCGGCTTGCAAACGAAGCCGAACTGCATGCCCTTCTTCGCCGCTCCCTCCTTTCCCACGGCCTTCAGCAAAATGTCCTGAAACGTGTAGGGGGGGGAGGGGCGGCCACTTATGTAAACGCATGCAGTAGTCTTTAGACCATTGACCTCGCATCCCTACAATGCAGGGACGGAGCTAAGACGGCAGGTAGCGTGTATAGAAGAGTAGCAGTGGTCTCCTCAGACCAGGGCCGCGGAAAAGGGTCGAACATTCAAGGCGACAACCCTGCGAACGCACAATCGGAGAGGGACCAATTCGCGACCTTTTTCGCTCATTCAAAGGTTTGCATGGTACATACAATACAAGGTGGTCTGGCGGCTCCCGCCGCCCGCTCAATAGATCGATTCCAAGACACGAGGTCAGTGGCACTCAATGTTCGTGGCAGAAAACAATATTGGTCAAGAGCAAAATGAAAATGGATCGAGGTTGTCGGTGCAGGAAGAGAGAACGCGTACTCGATTCGTATCCGACACAACATCCGAATGAAATAGCTAGCGGCATTGAGTGCTAGCGGCATTCGCCACCCCGCTCGCTCAATAGACCTCGACCTCGCCACACATGCATACATGCGGAACGCGGACATGAAATATGCTTGCTCGGCCACGTAACAATTGACGGTGGTGTGCCAAACGTACTTGAGCCACACAACTGAAATGAGCGGCCCGGCTAGAAAGGGCTGAGCAACAAACCGACCAAATCGCTGGAGCTACCGCTGTGCACAGCTATGCTGGCGTCACCAGCGGCTAGAGGCGTCAAGAGGCAAGAGGCAAGAGACACCGCGGAGAGTGCAGAGAGTCACAGGAAATGCCACTTATCACATGAAAAAAGGAAGAATTCATGTGTTGGCGTATACCGCTGTAAGTAATTGTAGTGTCCGCTCGAGATGGAGATGATGAGCGGGCCCGCCGAGAGCGGTCTGAAACATTAACCGCGCCAGATCGACTGACGCGTCCGCTGACCGGCTCGTCCGGTTTCCACGAGCAGGCGAGACAGACCCATCAATGGAGTGTTTGTTATGTGAGAACCGAAGCGGAAGCATGAACGGAAAATATCAGAAACATCCAAAGATCCCGGATGAAATGCGAGATGAAAATAAATGAAGAATATGATACGACATATGCGAGCCGAGACACGGGCTGGTGTATGAGAGGGGAGAGAGAGCCTGGCATGCAATGTGATGTGTGTATGGATGGAAAGCAGAGGAAAGGGGCCAAAGGTTCCGCGAGCGAGCGATGCAGAGTGAGAAGTTACACATGAAGGGCGAGCGGAGAAGAAATGACAACAGAGCGGAACGGAATATTTTCAACATGTGCGACGAAACGACCGACAACCCGACATAGGGGCAAGGAGAGAGAGACTGGTGGTTGCGTGAGAGAGAGCAGAGAGAGAGAAAAAGGGGAAGGGAGGGAGACTGGCACAGAATCGTGTGAGTTAATACGTTACCGTCATGAGAGGAAGACTGAGAAGACGGACGTCTTGACGACTTACTGACAGGCTGAGGGACGCATGTCAATAAAATCGGAATAGAGAGAAGCCCCGCCTCCAGAGGGTTGGAAGTTGAACGTGCAATACTTTGTGGAGCGCCCGACGAGTGACAGAAACAGATACATGTGGAGAGCCCGACGTGTGAAAGAAAGAGGAAGATGACGCCCTGCGCAAATCGTGTGAGTTGTGATACGCGATGAGAAGAGGAACGGAAGGGTGGAAACGTCCGCGATCGAGCAAAAAGCGGAAAAGTGATCAAACAGAAAATAATGGAGCGGAAACAAGCAGGAAAACAAGCGCAGAGGCCTATGAGCGGCCGACAGAGACCGGAAAACAGAGTAGCGGCTACGGTTTGAGAATGGGTCGGGACAAGCCAAACTCCCTTCCTAAAATCCGGCTTTCTCTAACACCGTCTTTGGTACGGCATAAGAAAATATTATCTTAATCCCTACTTCTATGTCGCTTTAAGAGAATATTCTCTTGCAATTATCGTGGAAAATCGAAAGGTCGTCAATGATGGACGCTCCTCGTTCCAACAATATGCTTTCAAGAGGTTAAGGAGAGCGCGTATCATTCATGTCACGCAACGCTAAGGGCGTCAGCACCTTCGCCCAACTCCAAACACCGCTCATGATGTTGGGTGGCGAGAATTTAACCCAAGTATGTGGTACTCTCTTGATGCCCGTGTTCAGAAGATTAAACCACGGTGTCGTGCAATACATCTATTGCACATGGATGAAGTCTGTACTTCTGTTGAGTTGAAAATAACTGCTGTGCTTCTTGCTCGCACCTCTTCTGGCAACACATACGGATGCACCAGCACCCTAGAGAAGATTCACTCACTCACCCGCTGAACCAATCCTACCCCGCCAATCCCCTGAGTACAACCCCACAACCAACCCCAACCCCACCAATTTGAAGCCCCTGGCGTGATGTCGGGGACAGCTGCGTGTCGACTGCTCGCTGCGCAGGGCATGGTGTCTGCGGCTGTGTATGTGTGTTATGTGATGTCCACATGGTTTCCAGATATTCGAATCGAATTAAGAGGAAGTCTCAGAAATAAAGAGAAGTTCTCTCGTACATCCGGTTTAAGAGCAAATCTTTCTTGAACCCATTTGGTCGGGACAAGCCAATTTCGCTCTCGTCAATTCATACTTTCTCAACATTTCCCCCTAAAAATCGTAGCCGCTACTGTAGAGGCCTTGCCAGAGTCCGAGAGAAAATGCTGCTTGTCAGAGAGAAATATCTTTTTAAGTGAAATCAAGATGCTTCAAGCCTGGCTCCATTCATCCCCCCAAAAACAATCGAAAGAAGGAACAATCCCTCCTCACTTCCACCACAGAACATTCCCCCAAACGTGATCAACCCATCCCAACCCAAGCATATCTTCAACCCTCGTGAAGGAGGGCGGCGCACACATCACACCTGAAAGGTTTCGAGCGGTTTCTTGGAGCCTGAGATGCGCGGCTTGACGCTCTCCGTGAGCGCGCTAACCATCTTCTCCGTCCCCACCTCCCTCGCCATCTTGAGAACCTTTTGAGAGAGGGCACCACCCAAAAATAATCAAAGTCCCTTCCATTCCGGCAAATTCTTGTGACATTGTTTTTGAAAAAGGTCGTGTTTTCCCACGCACTAAAGTATCACCATGAAGTTACATATCGTAGGGGAAGAATCTGGGCGCGAAAAGGCGGGAACACGTTACCGCAGGAGGAACAAACAACGGCAACATCAACAGTAGGTGACGCAAGATATCCCACCCCCAGGACCGATTTTCAAGCGAGGTCTCCGCGGCGAAGAGGGTCAACGAATCAAACTGTACGCTTTCGGAAACCTCTCGACGAGATGGTTTCAACGCCGCCATTTCTGGACCACCCCGCTTCCCTGCCGTGGAGCAATTGAACATTAGCAAAGTCGGTCCAGGGGATGCGATAAATAACATCGCCTACAGAAAACAGCAATAGTAGGGGCGAGGACGGCAAATTCAACACTGGCGAAAACCTTCCAGCCCAGAACCGCTATCACGTCAGTACACCAAACGAAAACAACCACGTGGACGGTAGACGATCAAAACAACAGCAGCAGCGCAACAAGCTACAGGCACCCACCGCAATAGACAGCAACAGGGATAGACATTTCGGAAAACACAAGGCATCTTCGCCACCACTACCCCAGTTGCCGCACTTGTCTTCAAACACCAACAACTTCACCGGGAATGTTACGTGATCTATGCTCCTGGTGCGGTGTTTTAACACCGGACGGGCTCCACACTGCTATTCCATGAATGAACAAAATCTGCACTGCTGCGCAGCAGGGAGAGAGGAGCGACAAGCCGGCGTCAAACCCCACACATACCATCGTCTTCTCAAATTTGGACTTGGCCACCCGCGAGAAAAAGCCGTCGTTTTTTCCGAGGGACTCTCCGTCTTCGCCTCTACCGGATACGAAAAAATCGTGGAGGGGGGGAGGGTTACTACGCCGAAGTTTAGTATGCAGAAAAGCAAGAGAAGAATACCGATGGCCATCGTTGCGTGCAAACACGGCTGCTGCCACTGCGGCTGTTGTGTACAAGATTTTTTTCCATGGACACTCTGTTAGGATATGATGCCAATAATAAACTCGGAAATACATCTATGTAGTGGCCACAACTCTCCAACCGTGTTGTACACTAGACAGAAAAATATCAACACGGCTTTCCGACAGGAATCGCTGCTTGCCCCGACCTCTTCAAGCAAGTCAACCCCTCTCATTCCAATTCTTGTGTTTCGGATAACTGTGTTGCACTGGTACTGGAATGCGAATCTTAAAAACCAGTTGAAACAGCAGTCCCGATCTATGACGCTCTCCTGCTTACCCATAGACGCCGCCCCTTCCAATCTTCAACACTACGCCCTATCCCCCGTTTGGTTAGCCCTGACACCCAATCAACCCGTGGCATATCTGCTTGGGCACAGCAAACGCAACATAATGACCAGCTTCTGGTTTATCTCAGCCTGGGCCGGCGAAAACCCAGCATATCGCTCCGTCACGGCAATGCGAGGTCAATGGTGTAAGGATCACGGCATGCGTTTACACGAGTGCCCCCCCCCCCCCCCCCCCCCCCCCCCCCCCCCCCCCCCCCCCCNCCCCCCCCGCCAAAACTCACTTGTGAACCTCGAGCTCCTTAGCGGCCGCCTTCTCATCCACGTAAAGCCCGACGGCATAAACCTTCACCCCCGCGGGCCCGATCTTCTTCACTCTTACCCCAGTCCCCATAAGGCTGGATTAGTTTGCCCGGTATCACACGCCCGAGCAGGGGCAGCCAACCGGACCCAGCCCGCCCGTGAGAAGAAATGCAGCGAGGCGGGGGCGACAAAAGACGAAGCGTTGGAGGAAGAAAGACACCAGTCGGCTTGGGAAAATCGGAAGACGAGATGCATGAGTCGCCATAGAGAGAGATGGGAGCGGAGCAACAAAAAGGGGGCCAACCGGAGGGAAAGCGCGGGAATCGCGATTCGATTCGAGCATGCTACTGTAACAGACACGCAAGAAGACGAAAACGCCTGGAAGAGTGCGTTGGTACTGTCCTCACACAACTTGATGCTCGCTAAAAAACACACACACCCTTCCATACTCACTGCCGCGCTTGGTAGTTAAGAAGCGCTTTCTGTTTTCAACCGCCCGAAGACTGACCGATGTGCATAGGTCAGCCGGTTTGCGCAGTCTCTGCTACCGAACACAAGGATTACGTAACACGCACTTCCGTGTTGTTAACCGCACGGAGACGGACGTCCATCTCATTGGTCAGCCGGTTAGCGCGGTCGATCCTACACGCACAATGCTTCACCTGCTTCCGCTCCCCCCGGGCAGGCTGACTTTTTCCCGGAACGATATCTTGGTGGCCCTTTCCGTTACGTCGGCCCGGGCGCAGAGGTTCTGGGGTGCGGCCAGCAGCAGCAGCAGCGCGCCCGCCGCCGATACCGTGGACGTACACGCCTTGAAAGCTCCCATCCTTGTTGTTCGCGCCTCTGCAGCCCTTTGTGTGTCTTCAACAACGAAAGGAGGTACGGTGGGGTGAGAGATAGAGTGGGAACATTTTTCTAGGTCAAGAGCTGCAGTATACGAGAACCTGGCGACTTGGCCGTCCCAGCCAACAACTCCTTTAGGGCGGGGGTCATTTACTCGCTACTGCTTCTGCTCGTCAGGCCTGCTCCCGGGGCTTGTTAGTTGCGGGAGAATGCCAGTGATTGCTGAGTACAGTCTCATGCGCTAGATAGCGTCGCGGTCGCGTTGTTCCTGAGGGAGGACGATGTCCATCAGGTGATCATTGTGTCTCTGTCAACCGCATCACCAGCAGCACGTGGTGTCGCGGCCGTGTTGGTCCCGCTGCGACGGTAGGCGGCGTGTTGTATGCATACGCGGGGTGTCTTTTTCAGCCAGACCCCCAGCACATGGAGCTTACTGCTGCACCACACAGCACTGGGTCTACAAGCACGATAACGGCTCCTGTGTTGTCGTTACACAACAGCAAGTGCTGCTGTCACACGACAGCACGCGAGAGGCGTCGGCGGAGGGCGCCATGCTGCTGCCCTCTCTCCAACTCAGCCAGGAACAAATGCAAGTTCAACGTTGCCGCCCTTCCCGCCAACATGCTGCAGACTACAAACAAATACGCATGTATTGTAAACCGACACGGTGACTGCAGGTGCCTGCAAGCGATGGTACCAAGGCTTTTCCGCTGCTGAATTCTGAAGCATTACACGACGCGATAGCCAAGGGGGTGTGCATAGCCTCCACCATTGCTGCCACAACAGCAGCGCGGGTTCCTTCCCTGCATGGTGCAACCCACGATCCAAACATGCATGCAGTGTGTGTGTCAGACAGGGGGGGCGCCCACACGGCATACAATACGTTGAACCCATCTCACTCTGGACTACACATTGCTTACCGACCCCGGTTTCCAAGAAAAATGATCCACTTGCCGAGCCACGCGCTGCGCTGTGACGTGTCAGCCGATGCTCTGTTGAAAATGCTTGCATAATGGATGGTGATGAGAATCGCCCCCGGGGCTCCGCGCGATCATAGGGTTTCATAGAGAGAGATGCCAGACATCGTTTAAAACCGTCGAGCAAAAGTCGTTCACCACGAAACGAGTGAGAGGTCTTTCTCTCCCTCTCTCTCTCTCTCTCTGTCGTTCTTTCTCCACTTTTTCCCACTGCCAACCCAATAGGTCTGTCTAATAAGAGCGGCGAAGGGTCCAGGAGACACAGCGGTACCGTGCCCCAGAAACACCTACCCGACGAGGAGCTTGCTACCGCCGCCGGTGTGCTGACTGGCTTGGGGAGGGGGAAGCGCTGGGCCGGACGCGAGGCGGGAGACGCGGGCCGAATTAGGTAAATTTTTCGCTTTAGCGCAAGATGTTTGTTTGTTGCTGCGGGTCTCTCCCTCTCTCTTGTCGTGTGTTTTTTGTCTCTCCTTTTCTGTACCGAAATTTGCAGATGACTGCATACACCTCATATGATTTGGGCTGTGCAGGGAGGCCTCGCCGCCTTTTATCCACGTGGTACGCATCAGGGCGCGTCACCACCAGAACTGTCGAGAGCGCGGTGGTAGCAGCGCACCTGCGTGTGGAGCGCTATTGGCAAAAGTTACAGGGCGCAGCCCGCGAATATGGCGAGGGTTGTTGGCGTGCGGTGCAACCTCTTCAACTTTTTGACAAGCGGAAAAAATTGGAAAGAGGAAGTGTTTCTGATTTTTTTTCGGCCATCTCGAGCTGTACTGCAGCGGCCTTTTCATGCGCGTGTCTCAAGCGCCAACCTTTTGCACACTTTCGCGTGGCGAGAGCGGGAGGTGGATAATGGTTGCTTGGCTCTTTTCGGGGGTCAAAGCTCGCCTGCGTACGCGATGTATCTTTAGCGGCGACACGGCCGTGTTGTCAAGCATCAATGGCCCTTGTGCAACATGGCTGTCGCGCCTCGGCCTGCCTGTTTGCAACAAATTTATTAGGATAATAAGCACGCACACAAACACACCGCATGATACATGTCCATCCATCTGAGGTTGAAAACTGGATACGTACATCGCCATGCGTGCGATATTTCTTGTTGGGTCTGTCTTCTGGCAACGATGGCACGGCTGTCGGGAGAGACGTGCCTAGGGGTTGCCCCCGCCTCACTCTCCTGTTTGAAGTGCGGAGTTTTTTGCCTCTCAGACTTGCTGGTCGGTCGTCACCTGCACACCACCACACTGGGTACCGGAGTCAGCAGAACGATCTCTGCTTTTATCCGCTCCGCCACGTTGTACTCGATTCCATATGTATAGTCTATATGTGCATATGCATACGCACTTTCGCCCCTCTGTCCAACCAACCAACCGCACCCCATCTCCACACCGAACATGTGTGCGTCCGGTATCCGTTACTTCAGCAGTAGGTGCGCGATCACGGAAAGCGGTGCTTTTGTCAACCACAGGCAGGACCCGGCCGCTTGCTGCTGTGGCTGGTTCGGTGGTGTACCCCGCCTTGCATTTCCATACCCCGCCCGCTCTGAAGAAAAGAGTTGAAAATGGCCTTCACGCTGGTGCTTTATTTTGAAGTAATATGCATCAGACAACAGATCTGCACGCGCCGTTTGCGCGTGGTGGCCCAGCAGCTTACTCGGGGTTTGTACAGTAGTTTCCCCGCCCTGGAAACAATAGTTGTGCTGGCCCGGCGCGCCTACGCAGAATTTATTCCTTCCTCTCGTTTGTTTAGTGCAGTATGTGGTTTCCGGGTCATAATGTACTGTATAATATGCCCCTCACTCTTTTGGGGAGGGGGAGGGCGTGTACCACTGAGTCCCACATCAGTCGGGGTTACAGCATACACACTGCACAAGCAGAACAATATTATTTGAAAGCGGCATCTATTATATTATATTACCCCGGTGGTGAGATGCCGGTTATCGCAAGCCCGCCTCACTATGATAGCAACAAGAGAGTGAAACTTGCAGCGAGGATGTGCCAACCCGGTATAGATGCAATAATAATCTCGTCGGGAAATCTCACACCCCGCATCCGAGCCAACAGCAGCGAGGCAAGCAAGAGTTGCGACAATCTCTTCCTTTTGCACCGCGGGCACTGCTGCTGCTGTGGAGATAGCCATGACCACCCTTGAAACGCACACTCTCACACACCCAACACCTCCTGATCTTTAGATATCATCCGGATATACTGGAAATTTTTACCACGGGGTTTACGAGGCCTACACAGGAGGCTATTTACGAGGTCTACCCATGTCTTGTGCATACTTCCTCCAACTACATTATTGTGCGCAACCAAGTTGGCGTGCCTCCAACTACGGTAGCGGTGCTCGGGCGGAGTGTTTCTTTGCAGCCCTATAACCGCAGGAGGGGGTCCAACCCCCGCCTCCTATGTAACCCCGGTTGGGTCGCCTAGCTGATAGAAGTGGAGGATAGGGGCCAGAGGGGCAGGCGACTGAGTCCAATGATGTGAGAAAAAAAACAAATGTGAATATAATCAATACGACTCACTACAAGAGAGGTAGAAAGAGTATTTTACTGGCCAGCGTCCCCGTCGCGTTCAAGACGAATGACGCACGCTGTCTACAATTGTTGTGTTGTTGTCTGCTTAACAACATATGGTTCCGGTCTCTGCTCTCAGTGGTACCATCGTTCTTGACATATATATTCCATTTCTAGTCTACATGTATAGAGTACCGATTATTGCTATTCCGTTGCGGCCTGTGTGCACACAAGAGTATTCGCGCGTATATAATAGTGCATTCGCTCCCCTCCTTTCGTGGGCGGGATTTTGAATTTTTCAAGATTTTGCAGACACTTTGCCCCCCAACCCAAACGTCCGTACCCTCATGATGTGTACCTGCTCTCCATGTGCCCCCGGAGACTAACCAACTCTGTGGAGGTTCTTTTCATTTCAGAACCGAACATGTTTTTGCGCCATCTTGCACAACGGCAACGTGCTTGCATTGCAGACTGGATGCTCGAGGCCGAAGTCGCATGCATGTATGTATGCATTCCAGGTGCACAACAGGGACTTTCGGGCTACAAAAGACTAGCCGTTTTTGTGAGTCGTTTTTTTTTTTCAAGCACTCAACACTTGGCATCTAGCAGTGCTAGCTATCCATTTAGAAATATCTCACATAGATACGTACAACACTGCTGTGAAGATTCATGATCCCGCCTGGCAAACATCATCCATTGACTTGCGTGGTCCAGTTTGTCCATGTTGCGGGTTGTCCAAAGAGCAAGCGCTCGCTTGCCTCTGCCGCTTCATTTTTCTTGTTGCTTACGCCCAAGCAACAAGCTCCGTTTCCTCATCAAGTTCGTGTTCGTCCAGATGTCCGCACTTCCTTTGCGCATCAGGTCATGGGGCTCCCGTGGCGTGTTGCGTCTTTGTAATGTTTCGCATGTTGCGCGCGTGCTTAATACGTACTACTTTTCCTGGAATTGTTGCCAAAGGCTGCTGCTACGGGTTCCCTGTCGACGCATAGCAGCACTCAACGAACAGCGGGATGCTCGACAGGGGAAGACTTGACCTGAAGCGTCGCGAGGTCTTACGAGCAACCATGACTTGTCGTGACTCATTGCCTGCTATCGTGTACCGTCAGTTAAGATACATAGATGCCGACCCCATGTCACCATGGATCTGCCTCTTTCTCTCTCTCTCTTGGCAGCCTCTAGATCCACACAATCAAACTTCCGGACACACACACAGACCCGCACATAGCCGGTGAGCTCGGTAGATGCTAGTGCAGTAAAGGCAAACACAAACGCACGTCGTTTCCGCACGCACGCACGCTTGTCTCCACGCCCTGCGCCCGTGCTCCAAGTCAGCTGCGGAGTGTCTTCTACCATGGGTGATGCTTATCCCTCTCTTCGTGTAATCCCCGTCTCCTCATCTCTCTCGTAGTGCGATGGCGACCGCACAATAAAAGACACGCTCCAGAGGAAAGTCTTGAAAAATGCCAAGCACGGATGTTCTTTTGCGTCCTCGCTGCACGTTTTCGTTTTTTGGTGACACTAACCTAGTATGCCTTGCTGCACTACCAGGGCTTGCATCCCTGCACGAAAGGCCCATCCGCGTACTTTCTGAATATTCCAGCCCCTTTGTACTAGTTTCAACGCTCGAATAATCTGCAGCAGAAGCAGCTGCTGCAGTTGTGCGGAAAATGGCGGCGTTGGAACCGTCTCGTCGACAGCATTTCCGATACCGTGTATTGTTTGGCTCTTGGCATCCTCTTCGCCGTATGGTCTTAAAGCTTGCGGTGCAGGGGGTAGGGTATGCGACCTACGGTAGCTGCTTCAGATAGTACACGACCGTCATGCCGCGGGCATCCGACCTCGTTGGCCTAGTATCGTAGCGCTATTGAAGAGCACGGCCTAGGTTATCGCAAGGATATGCCCTCAAGTCTCTTGTCCACACCCCGCGGATTTTTTTAGTCTTAAGATGCTACTTTAGTAGTTTGTCGGCTCGTCGTGGGATCATCTTGGCTTCTTTTATTTTGCGGAGCCAGAGGGATCTTGCTGCTATCAACGCGCGTGCATCCCGACTGCGAACGCATGTATGTTGCTTTGTTTGTGTTTTCGGGCTTGTGTGGAAACGGGAATTGTGGTTGCAGTAGCCCATCGGTTGCCTTCTTCTCCCGAGACTCTGCTGGATGCTTAGCGGAGGTTGCTCTTGTCTGCTGGTGGTGCTTGTGGATCCAACCTGCTAGCGACAGCAGGAGTAAATGACCGGTGATATTAGGCTCCATGCTGCCCCCACGTGCATCTGAAGAGATGGAAGTTGGTGTAGGCTAAGCAACCGCCCAACGGCGTCAGGCAGGTCACACGCTTGACCTCCGAGCCGTTTCGCTTCCAAAACCTATAGCAGCGGTGTTGGTAGGTGGACAATTCTGCTTTGAATCTAGATCTTCCGCAACAAACACGCCTGATGTGTGCCCTTTCTTCTCGTTTGCTGCTTTGGTCTAGATTAAATCTTGCTTCTTCAAGAGTACCAACGATCGGCAGAC